ATGATGTGGCCCTTGCTTCACCTTTAAATGATGTGCCTTCACCATCACTTGTCCCAGATGATGTGCCCTTTCCCTCACCAACCAGTGATGTGGCCCCATCCTCACTCACCAGTGATGTGCCTTTACCAACAACTACACATGATGTACGCTCTATGTCACCTGATGAGCCTTCTTCACCTGCCTGTGATATGGCCTCTCTGTCACCCACCCCTGAGGCTGCCTCTGTTTCCCCTGTCCCTGATTTGACCTTGCCATCACCTACACCTGTTGTAGACCTCTCCTCTGCCCCTGATATAGCCTCACTTTCACCTACCCCAGAGGCTGCCCCAGTTTCACCTGTCCCTGACATGGCCTCCCTTTCACCTGCCCTAGATGCTGCCCCAGTTTCACCTGTCCCTGATATGGCCTCCCTCTCACCTGCCCCAGTTTCACCTGTCCCTGATATGGCCTCCCTCTCACCTGCCCCAGAAGCTGCCCCAGTTTCACCTGTCCCTGATATGGCCTCCCTCTCACCTGCCCCAGTTTCACCTGTCCCTGATATGGCCTCCCTCTCACCTGCCCCAGAAGCTGCCCCAGTTTCACCTGTCCCTGATATGGCCTCCCTCTCACCTGCCCCAGTTTCACCTGTCCCTGATATGGCCTCCCTCTCACCTGCCCCAGAGGCTGCCCCAGTTTCACCTGTCCCTGATATGGCCTCCCTCTCACCTGCCCCAGAAGCTGCCCCAGTTTCACCTGTCCCTGATATGGCCTCCCTCTCACCTGCCCCAGTTTCCCCTGTCCCTGATATGGCCTCCCTCTCACCTGCCCCAGAGGCTGCCCCAGTTTCATCTGTCCCTGATATGGCCTCCCTCTCACCTGCCCCAGTTTCACCTGTCCCTGATATGGCCTCCCTCTCACCTGCCCAGGCTGCCCCAGTTTCACCTGGCCCAGATATGGCCTCCCTCTCGTCTGCCCCAGAGCCTGTCTCAGTTTCATCTGTCCCTGATATGGCCTCCCTCTCACCTGCCCCAGTTTCCCCTGTCCCTGATATGGCTTCCCTCTCACCTGCCCCAGAGGCTGCCCCAGTTTCACCTGTCCCTGATATGGCCTCCCTCTCACCTGCCCCAGAGGCTGCCCCAGTTTCACCTGTCCCTGATATGGCCTCCCTCTCACCTGCCCCAGAAGCTGCCCCAGTTTCTCCTGTCCCTGATATGGCCTCCCTCTCACCTGCCCCAGAGGCTGCCCCAGTTTCACCTGTCCCTGATATGGCTTCCCTCTCACCTGCCCCAGTTTCACCTGGCCCAGATATGGCCTCCCTCTCGTCTGCCCCAGAGCCTGTCTCAGTTTCATCTGCCCATGACATGACTTCTGGGTCAAGTACCCCAGATGTGGCTCCAGTGTCTCCCACTCCTGATATGGCTTCTCTTTCACCTACCCCTGATGTGGCCCTCCTTTCAAGTGCCCTTGTTAATGCCACTCCATCTGATGATGATGTAACCTCTCCCTCACCTATGCATGACATGGCCCCTCCACCTTTAGTGGTTAATAATGTGCCTTTATTATCATCACTTAGTGATGTGCCTTCACCTGTTTGTGATGTGCCCTCTATTGTGTCCCCTCCCTCCTCTCTCAGTGATGTGCCTTCGCCTTCTCCCACCCGTAATATAGCCTCTCCTTCCCCAAGTGATGGTGTACCCTCACCTTCCCTCACCCACGACATGCCCTCACTTTCACCTACCCCTGATGTGCCTTCACCATCCCCAGAGCATGATGCCTCATCCTCTGGGCATGGCAGTGCAGCCTCCCCTACTTTGCAGCATGAGTTCATCTCCACAGACCTCCCAGAGCAGGACCAGCTAAAATCTCAATCTCAACAGGATGACCAGACCCTCTTTGCCTTTCCCACAAAGAATCTGAAGGGACAACCTCTGTCCCTTCCCCAGGCTGATGACCCTCATGACCGGTCCCTCTCACCTGTTGGAGACATGAATCCATCACCATCATCATCACATGAAAATGAATTTATCTTTAACTCCCCTATTTCTCTGCATGAAAGTGACTCCATCTTTAATGCTCCTTCTTTTTTGCATGAGAATGATTCTGATGTAAGCTCCCCACCACCTACACCGAAGGATATTGAACTGAAGTCTCATTCTGAAGATGTGCATGTGGTATCTCTCCATAAAGATGATTCCTCTTATACGTACTCTTTCCATGATGCTAATGTGCTCTCTGAGACACTTCCTCATGACTATGGGGTTGATGTTAATTTCTCGTCTTCCCACAATGATGACACTGATATGCAAAGGTCTCTCCACTCAGAGGTGATATCTAGTGATAATGTTACAGCCCTGAAAACCTCAGAACTTGCAGAAGCTTCTATTCTTGATGCTGCAGGGGATGTAAATGCTATACAAGCCACAGAATTACAAACTAATGTACAAGAATCCATTTCAAAATTTGATGCAGAGTCTGTTACCGAATCGTCAATTATGAGTCAAAGAGATGACAATGAAGCTCTTTCACTGTCCACAGAAAACTCAGATATGCCCTTGGAACCTTCAGATAACCATGAAGTAGAGACAGAGAACAAGGACAACTCTGACATTCTAGATTTTGAAGACACTATTCACAAGTCAAATGAGGATTTGAGAGAGAGTGTAAAAGATGCTTTAGATTCAGGGGATGAATTAGATATAATATCCCAGACTGAAAGTTCATTGGAATCGATGATCATTAAGACTGACCTTGATGATAATAGTAACACTGCTAGCATAAAAGAAGCTGTCGAACTTTCATCAGTCAAGTCGGGAATTGTTATGGATTATGGTATTCATTCTAATCCTGAGATTCAAATGGATGTTCTTCCATCAGAGAAACTTACAAAAGGTGAGTCGATTGAAGTTCTCTCTGAAAATTATGAAATCTCTCTTACTGAGGAAAACAAGTACCTTCCAGATGTCAGTGAGGACTCCTCTGTTTTATTAAAAGATAATGTATCAGAATCTGTTAATGAGGCAGTGTACTCATTTGTGATGGAATCTCAAAGAGGTGACTTAGACAAAGCTGTTCTTTTGCATGAAGGTAAGGAAACAGTACCTACTGCATGGACAATTGCTGAAGAATCTCCTAATAGTGATGTGGATTCCCAGAGTTTACTAGAGCCAGAGGAACATAAACTAGAAACACAGATTTCTGAAATTTCTCTGAAAAAGAACAGTATGACTGGCTTGGAACAAGACTATGAAAAAAGCAGAGAAACAGCAGTTTCTGAGAATGAAATGCACATTCCAATTAAGTCTGTTTTTGAGGAGGAACTCGAAAGATCTGCTCAGAATTTTTCCATTTTTGAGACCACTCCAGACAGCTTTATGGGCTCACCAATGCAGGTGATACCAGAAAGCCCCTCAGAAACCTCATCTTTTGCAACAGATGACACCACTCCTTTTATTCAAACAGAGAGAAATGCCTCTGGACATAGTTCACTGACAGATGAATTTAAAATGAATACCATAATAGAAGAAAATGATAGCTTTTCTAACTTTGAGTCTAAATCTGCATATTATGAGAACGAAGCTCGAAAGGCTTCATCCCGCTCAAGATCTTCATCTACATCATCATCTTCATCCTCATCTTCCTCTTCATCTTCATCTTCATCTTCATCTTCCTCCTCAACTCGAGTCACATATGACCACATTGTAAATGAGCAAGAAGCAGAGAATGCTGACAAGGGAAATGTAGCAGATTTTGACACAGTTTATGCTCAAAGTAATCCTGGTGCTTACAGTGAGGCATTTCCCTTGCCAGGCTCCAATCTAAAAGTCACTTCTGAGTTTGAACAAATTTCAGAATCAGCTCATTTGCAGGATACACCTCCTCGTTCAAGATTGTCCTCTTCCACCTCATCAAAGGATGCTTATGACAGTTTTTTGAATAATCAGGAAACAAAGGTTGAGAAGGATATTGAATCTGATGTAGAATCAGTTGAAGTCCTGAGTAATTTCGATGGTAATAATGACCTCACATTCCCTCAGACAAGGATACCTGCAGGAGAGTTTGACTCTGATGCTAGCTCAGAAGACATGGTTCCACAGGAAACTGAGAGTGATGATGGCTTTGCAGTTTCTGATAACTCACCTAATAGTTCACAGTGGGTGAATGCTGATAAGGCAGATGGTAGGACAGGCTCTCCACACCTCATGACCAAGACACATGATGACAGTGTATCACCATCTACTAATAGCAGATACATATTTGAAAATCCATCCATCTCTTTGGCAGATTCAGCTGCTCATAATAAGCCTTCCTTTACAGAGACTCTGTCCGATTCCACTGTGTTTGAGATGGAGCCAAACTATGAGACTGACCATCACAGCAGAAGTGACAGAACTAACACTAACAACATAGTAGAGCCCTCTCTGTCCCCTCTGCCCGATAATAATACATCTTTTGTTTCAGGTGATGATTTCTTTAATGGAGATTTCAAAAAGGATTCCTCAAACAGTTCAGATATTTCACTCCATCAGGAAACCTCTGCATTTGATAATTCACCACATTTTCATGAGGAGTCTTCACCATCTGAAATAAGACCATTTATGGCAGAGAGTATAAGTGTTAAGAGTTCCAGTGACCTTGTTGGTTCTTCCCCAATAAACATTGAATACCAGACTAATGGAGGAAAATCCATTGCTAACAACCCTTTTAACAATAGCTTTAACAGTGATAATAACCCTTTCCTAGAAAATAATGAATCTGACACTAACATCTTTAACTTCCCCTCACAACCTTCTGACACCCTTTTTCCTGTCAATGGGACAGCTTCAGAAACCCTAAGAAGCTCTCAGCCCTTCAATGGCATGAACTCCCAGAACACTGATTTCTCCTTTCAGTAAGAGGTCTTATGAGGAAAATGCTCTAGCTCTTCCTTCCTAAATTTTTTTTGCACCAGCGGTGTAGTTTGCACTCTTTTAGCCCATCTCCTGGAATTTTCTTTTGATTGGGTAACAATTAACTTTTTTATTCTTCATAATCCAAATGATCCTCACAGTTTCTTTTTTGCACTCATAACGATCTGTTCCTGACTGCATGGGTGGTGGTTCTTACAGGTGCGGTTGATCCTATGACAATGTCCATGTTTGGCTCCCTCAATGGCATGAATGGCAAGAGCTCAGGTACACCATCTCCTACCAAGCCTGAGGTGCCCCTTCCCTCTGAACCTGCAAAGGATACCAGTTCAGCTGAATCAAAGCCTGTTGGTGTCCGCAGTGTCCCCGGCACTAACCTTAGGTGCCTCGACGATCCTTCCTTCATGTTTGACAAGCCATCTGTAGGTACAACTAACTCCCCCAAGACTGGTTCATACAAGGTACTTGATGCTCCAACTGAACCACAGCAGCCAAAGAGTGCTGGTTACCGTGTATTAGAAGCCCCAGGAGGTCCTTCTGAGGTTAAGGATGCTCCTGAGCAGTCTCCCACAAAGCCAGAGCCCCCTGTTAAGCCTTCACCTTACAGGGTACTTGAAGCTCCTCTTGATCCCCCAACCAAGCCCAAGGGCTCCCCTTACCGTGTACTGGAGGCCCCAGATGCCCCTTACTACCCCCAGCCACAGAGTGTAGGTGCAGCACAGGAGTCTAAGCCCCCTTCCCTTGTCTCCCCGTCTTCCGGTAGGACGGTAACTGATGCACTAGACAAGGCCCGTGCCCGTTTTGATTCCTTCTGGGGGGGCGCAAAAGATAAAGATCCTCCCAGCAAAGTCTAGGTGCCCAAATCCAATAGCCATGTTCCAATTTCAAGTGAGATATCTATGAAGACAGTTTGCTACATGAACAGTTACTAAATTTATAGGTAACAATAACTAATTTTTTGGTGCATCTTCATGGATATTTCTAATAAGCCGAAGGATGAGCTGTTAACAACCATTCCATGCAGATTTTGGTGATGTAGAAAATTTATGCCATCGTCAATGACCCCACATTCATGCTGGGTTCTTGGTCAACAGCACATCTTCGGTATATGAAATGTTGAGAAAACCCACAGGCCATCAATTCAGCCAGATGTTTAATCGCAATACTCATACTATTTTTGTTAGTTGTCATAGATGCTATTTAACTCTTTCTGGACTTCACTCAAGGCTACGCAGTATAGTATTTCCTGTGGGTTTTTCTTATACGAAGCACTTGCTAGTAGGCTAAGAATGTGAGATTGTTTATAATATGACCGATAAGGTCCATTTTAGTTTCTATATGTTTAGCTTTTATTGAAAATGTGAGAATGAAAGGCAAGCCAGAGTCATGGTGTTTGTAGGGAATGCCAAGTGTGACCAGAGATTCAGATAATTTATCTTGTTACAACCATTCAACTTGTCATCTGTTTACGGTGGCTCATTACATTATCTCAGAGAACTGGAACACTGCCAGAACTCCCCAAGTGTGAAGTTTTGGAGTGTAAGTGTCATATTTGTTGAAAGAAATGAAATATACTGATGATGCAACACACTTGTGTAGAACTTTTAAAAAGATGCTGATTTACATTTTGGATGAACTTGTCTTAAACTTTGAGGAAATTATGGGTATTCTCTGAAAGTTTAACAAATTAATATCAGCATTGAGTACTGTATTCTGGACCTTCAGAGTAAAATGTGTGGCTGAGTTGACAGATATTGTTTGAATGAACATATATTATGTTAGGAAATATTAAAGTAAAACAAAAAAAATCTGTATTTACACTTTACATATCTAGAAACAGTGTAATAAAACAGTGATTTTAGATATGAACTCTATATAATAGGAATATTGGGTATAATGGGTGTGTATATATATATATATGCAAATTTACATTGGCATGGTTTTAAACTGTGTTATCAGTTTATGTTATTTATTTAACAAAGGGATTTAAAGTTGTATGTGTGGATATGAAAGTTGTCTTCTTAGGGTAAAACTCTGCCAAAATGATTAAGAGGCTAACTCTCTCCTAGGTCATGAAGTATAACCTAGGTCGTGAAGTCTATCCTAGGGCTTGAAGTCTCTCCTAGGTAGAACGTGAAGTCGTGTCCTAGGGTGCTATTTCTGCTCCGAGCACTGTCTGTGTCCTAGGGATATATAACTATAACTTTAGATGAAGTACTAGAAGGAACTTGGGTCAAACTTGGCATTTCATCCTGGCCTTAATACTAATGCCTATACAGGGGAACACTTGGCATCCGCAAGTCTAGAATCAAGCTTTTAGTACTCTTGAAAGATTATAAAGATAAACTTTGTAGGATTTTTGAAAGTGTGAATCCTAGAAGCCTGGAGTACAGTGGTCCTGATATGTGAGATTTTAGCAGGAATCTTTAGAGTTGTCTAACATGAGGAAATCTTGAAAGGTGCATTATTGATAATCTAATTCACTAAACCTTGATTAAACATTGTATTATATTCTGTCATTGTGTAATTGACGGTTAAAAAAACCCTACTTAATGAAATTTCTTTATCTTCAAATTTATACCAAAGATGAAAGTTACAAATGATTCAATTTTTATGGCGTGAAGTGTACACTCCTGAGTTGTTCCTCTACTGAAAACTGCCAAGGGTTTGATTATATAGTTTTGAATGGTAAAGCTATTTATATTGTTATAATTAGTATAGTGTTGGCTAATTATTATACTGGGCAGATTGGTCTCGGTCTCTGGCAAATTTCACCATTATTGTTTATGTCCCATGGTGATACATAGTTTTCCTTTTGTCACTTCATTGTAACAGCTTATTTTTGTATTGTTTTGTAGTTCATTTGTCATGTTCTTGACTGCAACACATTCCATCAAGCATTAAGGAGTTTTATATATTTTTTAGGTAATTTAATTTTCATTTCTCTATGTAAAAAATCATATAAAATCCATTGTAAGGGTCAGCAATTTTGATTTGGGGATTGTGTTCCTTGCACATTTTTGTTTCTAAAGAACCTCTCATAAGATCTTAACATGAATAGATTTAAGTGCCAACATAATTTTTCAAAATTGCTGATCCCAGATCCTAGCTGTGATTTTGGTAGGTCCCGCATCCTGTGATGGTGAAGGGCTATCAGCTTAGCAGAAATCCCAACTCTGACTCAAAATTCACTCTTTAGGCAAGAAATTTAGTTCCCGTCCTTACTTGTAGTTTCAGCAAAGTTTTGTGATACTTTTGATCGAGTAACAACAATTACTTTATGAAAACCCAATTACATACAACTTTGGCATTTGTTTTTCTCCCCCTGAAAAGGAAATGTAGAAAAAAGTAATTATTGCTTTTCCTCATTGGAGCCTTGTTAATGCTTGGATAGGGTTTCTATTCCATTGCTAATAAGGGACTTGAACCTTACTGAAGCTCATATAAGGGTCAAATCAGGCTGTCACCATGGGGCGTCACCATTCTCCATCACACGACGCTGTTTACGCTTCTAGTCAAAATTCTCGCATAAGTTGCAGGTGTCAGCGTCAGATCCTGCTTACCCCCCAGACTCATTTCTATTGCCAATGCAGCAAGATGTATGGAATTTAGGACTTTTATTCCCTTGCCATATATGAGGACAGTGAAATATTAAGCTTCTTGAACACTGATTGAAACCTGCACTTGTGATGTGCACTTGTAAGATCTATTCAATATCCTATGTGGATTGGTCTTTGAAGGCTGTATTGTTTATAGGAACCTTTCCCATGCTTCTCTTTTACATTTAAGTTTGATATTTTGAAAAGATGAATCAGTTTCTGTTCTCTCATATATGATTTGGGAATTTATGGCCAAATCTGACGAGTTGGGAGATGAGCAACGTCATGGCGGGACCCTTAAGTTGTGAATCTGACCTTACTGTATGTACCCATAGCACAGACCTTACATTAAATGTACAGCTTCAGACCTTTTGTTTCTCTTTTTCCCTGTTCCTAACTTATGACTACAAGGTTCATATACATCTTGTATCACAAAACATGAAAACAAAATACTATGGCAAAGCTATTGTCAAGTGTATACTACATGTTTGGAAATTAAACCTTGCTCCAACTAATGCTTGCTAGAAAAAGCTTGTATGTAAAAGGTTTAACGCACACACGCACGCACACCCACACACACACACACGCACGCACGCACGCACACACACACACACACACACACACACACACACACACACATTTATATATATACATGTGTGTGTGTGTGTGTGTGTGTGTGTGTGTGTGTGTGTGTGTGTGTGTGTGTGTGTGTGTGTGTGTGTGTGTGTGTGTGTGTGTGTGTGTGCCAATTCTTTAAATGAAACTCATGCATAATCAATCATACTTCACAAGTCCAGACAAGTAGTATCCAATCAATTTCAGTGATGACTTCCTTCAGCGACAAACAGCAAATATGGCATTCACTCAGGTAAGTCACTTCAGCTTCAAGGTTGACTGAAATTCTTGCTAACTGAGATCATCTTAACCTGTACAGGAAAGTGCCAAGGGCCTTTTATGGTAAATACCAGCAAAAGTTGAACCTGTAGGTTTTAGGCCATTTTTTTTTTTTTTTTTTTTTTTTTTGGGCAGGTGCAGTACCATGACTGGAATTATTTCTATATAAACTATAGAATGGATGAGATTTTTAGGTTTAAAAGCACTGGTAGTACTTCATAACTCTAGTTGTGATTATTATATTGGACTTACTCTAAAATCCAGTTCTATCAGTTGGTGGCTGCCCAGCACCTTTGGTAATATGGGTTATGAACTGCCTAACTATGCAAAGTTATGGAAGTCTTCCAGTCGATTAATGACCCTGAACACATTAAAGTCCACCAGATCTTATATGACAAGATATCAAGGGGGGAAGAGTTAGAGTGAGTGAGTGCAAGTGTTAGTGCATGTATGCATACATGTGTGCTTGCTTGTATGCATGTATGTGTATGCAAAAAATAACAACAATAGCAACCATCCATCCATCCATCCATCTGTACACATAAGTGCGTAGACTACTGCATATTGTATATACTCTTTGTTATATTCTCTTCAAGTATCTTCCTTTTCTCAGCCTTTTCAAATGGATTATAGTATATATAAACATTTGACTTCCTTTTTGGTATGTTCTTTATTCTTTTTATATACAGCCTGCACATGCTGCAATGTGCATATATTACCAAAAATGCTAATATAGCATCAATATACCAGGTATACAAAATTTAGTAAATATAGAAATTATACAACTGTTACAACTGTTGATGCTTATCTCTTAGCACAAATATATACTCTTATGCCAATTTTTCTCTTAAGTTTTTGAAAATACTCTGCATTTGTGAAATTACATCATTCTGTTCTGTGTGCATACTTTTTAAAGTGTGTATTATTTTTTCATTTGCCTTTTCATGATCTACTTTTTCTTCAACAAGATCACCAGTTGTTTCTGAATCTGAGTATTCCATTGATAAAACATGTTTGGCAGACAGCTCTTGGTCTTTTACATTCACTTGAGATTCCTTACTCTCAGATGCTGTCACTTTTGGTACATCTTCTATAGAATTTAATAGCACTGACTTAGCATAGGAATTTTTTTTCTGTGGCCTTCCTCGCTTTCTTCTTTCCATCTGGTGCAGGTTAAAACAAAGTCTTTCTCGAGATTGTCTTTTAGATCTGCTGTATGAGGTAGTTGTTCTTCTAATAACATTATTATCATCTTTATCATCATCATCATCATCATCATAGTCTGAAGTTTCAGCGATCATCTTGGAAAAGAATGTAAATCGAGTCTTCCTATCTGATCTTGTCTGAATAATCCTTGTTTCTGGTTCTATTTTTACTTTGTCATAATCACTATATTGATTAATCATTTTAGTTTGGCAAGATTCTCTATCTGATGCAGTTTCTGTTGACATGTAATCACTGTTTACTCTCTCTTCATTACTGGTTTTCAAACAATCTTTTCTTTTTTCTCCTAAAATATCTCCCTTTGAATTGCTAGACACATAAAGAGAAAGTGTTCTTGGGAATTCCAATGTTATTTCTTGATTATTATTTACAAACTTGTAGAGTGATTCATTTTCTGAAATACGTTTAGCAGTTTGGAAAACATTATAATTATTCTTATATAATTCTTTATACAACAATTCTGTCCTCTCTGACAAAAAATTATGTGGACTATCACATGACTCGTTGACACTTGCTTCTGGTCTGTCAACATTTTCAGGTAATAAATCTGTTTTCTCTTTTCTTTCCAAGTTCAAAAAATCTATATCAACACTTTTTCTCAAATGATCTAATCCAAGGAGGAGACACTCTTTAACATGATCTTCAGCATGATTTACTTCTTTTGAGCTATCAAGACCATCAAAATAAGTCAGTGAACTGGTATCACTTTCTTCAGAGGAATCTTCAGAGGTCAGAGAATTCGGTGCAATCTTTCCATTCTTTGAAAACTTTGGGTCTGTAAAAGAAATTAAAGATAATTTTAATGAAGTATACATACTCTCAGTTACATAAAAAAGAGCTGTACCATTACTACTCTATTAGTACAACTGGCATCACTGTGGGATAAGTACCACAGTATCAGCAAGTGACACTTTATTAAACAGATCTAAGCAATGATTGAATTTTCATCTGGTTATAGAACTCCTTAATCCACGCTCCCAGCAAAAAATAAAAATACTAATAAAAAAAGAATAATTACATGAATAAATAAATTGGTGTGGTTAACTCCATGCCAACAGGTACTTCATACAGCATACTGGATCATGCCAGGCATAGCTCAGCAGCTCAAGTAAAAATATTAAAGCATGGGAGCATATAACTTCCTTCTTTATGATTTTGTCTGCAGCATGGATGATTTTCCAGGAAACGAGGCTAATAACTATCCCTGAGACTATTCCTCAATGACTGCAATAATGGCCAAACAAGAGAACAAATGTTTATTGTACACAACTTGTATATGCCACCTGAAAAGGAAATCAGTCTTGTCATGGTATATACATGCATGCTATCTGACATAATTATTATAATAATGTTAATAACAATAGTAATAGTATTTGAAATTTAAACTCTTTTCCATAACATAAAAAAATGGGGTTAGTAGGTGAGGTCAGGTAAACCTAGTAATTAAGTAAGTGTTTGTGAAGTCATCTTTGTGGTAATAGATAAATAAAAAAATAAATAAATAAAAAATGAAGAAACAAAACTATACTGGAGAGCAGATGTACCTGGGGCACATAGGTGTAGGAGCCAGGGGGGCTCCCCCCCCCCCCCAGTCGGGTAAATGCTGGTTGAACTCGGGCAATTTTGGGCAGGGGCATAGATAGGAAAATTCATAGAGGGGGCGAGAAATGAAGATATCCCAAGAAAAATTTGACACTCTCATTTTTTATTATTTTGAACATAACATTAGGCCACTAGAACTAAACAAAACAGAAAACCATCATTATTTTTCCGACAAGTGCAGAAATTTTCCGAAAAAATGGCAGTTTAGCTTCATAGGTGGGTCCCCCCCCAACCCCCTCTAGCTATGCCACTGGTGGCATTCATCGCAAATTTTCTGGCAGGTGAAATTTCTCTTCCTCTTTCACTCGGGCAGAAAATTTGCAGTCCTCCTAAATTTTAAATGCCCCTACACCGATGCTGGGGTATAAGGGTTAAAAGTACTTTTTGTTCACCTATGGATGTAAATACTATTATATTTTACATAAGTATACATATATTCCTATATGACATTCATTTATATACAGATAGTCCCCTACTTACGAACATTCAACTTACGCACATTCCATACATATGAACAATTTTTTTTTGATACTTGAGTCAAAAAAATTGTTTGAAAGATGCTAGCAAACTTCAAATTTCCCAGGCGCGAATATAGTTCACGAGTCTGCCGCGCTCACTCAGCTGTGCTCATGACTCGACTGCCCTCCCCCATAAATATGAAAGCCTCTCTTCACCATGTCCTTGTGTACCGACAATTTTATGCCATAATTCGCTTTACCTGTGCATCAATCCATCAAAAATGTCGGGTGTGAAGAGAAAGATAAACGGTGAAGCCAGTGGAATTGCCAAGAAACGTCAGGCTATAACTGTATGGATCTTATCAATCGGTTCGCCAGCCAGTCACCACTATATATTTTCTTTTTGAATAAATTATGTTTCTACATTTAAAGTTGTATAAATCACCAAATAATATTAATCCTTTCACGACGGGTGACGCCGCTAGGCGTGAAAAGAAACCGCACGAAAAGTGCCGTGCGGCTGCGGCTGTACGCCGCGGCGGCGAGCCAGTGATTCGTCCTAATGTACAGAACTCGCGCCCTCAAAGTCGGCGCACTGCCATTGATTGCCAGAGCGTAGAGGTTTGTTTTTTTTTATTTGCCAGGCACCACTACAATATATTTTCTTTTTGAATAAATTATGTTTCTACATTAAGGTTGTATGAATCACCATCAAATAATATTAAAAGGTACGTCGTACTTATTGGGATTTATGTACAGGTCTTCTTAATGTAAACAAAACTTTAAAACAATTGGGAAAAGAGGTAAAGGAGACCCGGCTTTCAACATAGATCAAATCGACTTCCGAACAGCCTCTCGGTCCCCATTATGTCCATAAGTTGGGGACTTACTGTATAGTGAATGACACAGCATGTGTATATATACACATCCTCATCGTAAAATAAATAATAATAGTTAATTTCTTTATTACTTTACCTGAGGTCCTTGTGTATATTCCTTTTCTCTTTTTCAAGCTTTTCTTAGACCTGGATTTAAGTTCAAGGATGTCAGAATCTGCAAAAAAAAAAAAGTAAATGTGAGCAGAAATATTAATATCAGGGTATCATTTTTTCCAGTATAGTTTGCTGAGTTCTTGATAGATGCTATCAGAGCAACCCTGAATTAAATTATCTTAATAACATACTTTCCACACTGAGGAAAATGATAACCAAAGAGCAATTAAAAAAAAGATAATACAGAGAAAAGCAATATACCACATGTGGCTAGGTGTATAGCAGATCGGCTCTTTTCCCACTGTAAGGAATCTGATATAGCTGCAAACATTATCAATAGCCAATGTCATTGCTTCCCTCTGTTTCCTACCTTTTTATACATCATTTTAAAATCCTTGCAATAACCTACCTGTCAAGTTCCCCTGGAACAGTTTTGTCATGTTGTTAACCTTCAAAAACTGGTGAATGAAAGCTATGTCCTCATTGGTCTCTTTCTGTTCCTCATATTTTCTCAAAGCATCAAGCAGATGCAATCGTACCTGCAATAATGTCACTAGTATTAATGTCTCTGCACATTTATTGGAAACTTTCTGCCGCGTCAACATCTAAGGTCATTAGTAGTGAATTCAAATAGAGCAATAGCATGAGGCTTGGGGGCAAAGCCTCCAAGTAAGGAAGTAGTGTAAAGGGTTAGGAATGTGTTAATGATTAGAGCAAAGCAACAGTTTGAACAGTACTAGAGAGTAGTATGGTAGTGAAAAGGGTAGAGAGGGGGAGCTGATGGGGCATATACATAAAGGTTGTTTGAAGAGGAAGGAGTTAAGGGAGTAGGGAGCATTATGATAAAGTTTTGTGGTGAAAAGGGCATAAATTAAAGATTAAAGTGGACAGAACAAGGGGATGAAGAAGAGAAGGAAAAGGAAAGAAGAAAAGACCATGCAAAATTAGTTGAGGCAAGGGCTTAGGACCAAGGGAGGGGTAATCCCCTACAATAGGCCTTAGTCCTCGTCTTCCAAGCCCCCCCATGACACCAATGAGCAAGGGATGGGGGGGTGGGGGGTAAATATTTACATGACTCAAACTAAACAGTGCATTACAATACTCACTTGCCGTGTTTTTGGCACAGGATCCAAAAGCTTTTTTGCCTTGATGTGAATTTGTATATCTTGCAGAATCTGTGTGATAATCTTGCCTTGAGTCATGCTTATGGGTTTCTTGCTCACAATCCTATCAACTTCTTGCCGAGCCACATTATATAAAATGTTTCTGGCCTGACTTGATAAGGCCTTTGCTCCTGTAAGCAGCAAAAATCTCTTTGGTTTCTTTCTACATTTCTACATTTTTAGAAATTCATATCAAAGAAATCATAATCATAAAATACATAGAAACCTCAGAAATTCTACAACCTTTGCCTCCTGAACTTACCTTTTGTCCAACTGAGGGACAAGGACCTCCTCAGCTGAATCACCTCCCGCAGCAGGTTCCAGTAGGAGATGGTGTCTGGGTTGTGGGAGTGCTGGGGGGTCAATGGGGACACGCACAGCTTTGATTTCCTCGTGTTGTACTGCGTCAAGATTATTCTGAACTGCTCTTGGATTTCTTCTTTGGTATAACTGTGATACGTAATGCAAAAAAATGCAAGTGTTTATTATGTGAAATTATATATGCAATTACGAGGAAAATATGTTTGGTTGCATGTATATATGAGCATGCATGTGTGCGTGAGTGGATTTCAGTGGATTTCCTCTATGGTATAATTGTAATGAATAATAAAAAGAGGGTGCTTATCACGTGGAATTATATATGAAATTACAGGGTGCATATTAGTGTGTGTGTGTGTGTGTGTGTGTGTGTGTGTGTGTGTGTGTGTGTGTGTGTGTGTGTGTGTGTGTGTGTGTGTGTGTGTGTGTGTGTGTGTGTCTGTCCTTTTACATTTTCAGTTTACATTAAACATCAAAGTACCTACCCATATCCTAACTTAACCATATTAGTTTTAATTTTCTCGAAAACTATTTCTTTGTTTGCTGGGGATGAACTTGCAGCCTGGTGCTCAATATACAGGGCAAGCAGATGGTTGACAGCTGCATGACTCCAGTAGGTTATTTCAACATCTGCAAATATCAATGAAACTGTGATCTCTTTTTTCTTTTTCTTTCTTTTTTTCATTAATTCCTCATTCACTCTTTCTCTCTTTCTCCCTCTATTTCATCCTCACCTCCTCCTTCTCCCTCTGTATATACACACACACACACACACACATGCACGCTTCTTCCTCTCCCTCTATAATATATACATACAGTGTATATCTATGTATGTATGTACACATATGTGTATGTATGAATGTATGTATCTAGTATCTATGTATCTACACTTCTATATGTATCTATATGTCTGTGTCTGTGTATGTTTACATACTGTATATATACTTATATATATATTTATACATATATGTATATGTATAAGAGTATATATACACAGATGCACAGGCATATGGATATGGATATGTATTTGTATGTATGTATGTATGCATGTATGCATGCATGTATGTGTGTTGTATGTATCTATCTCTGCATAAACAAATATACAAATTCTTAATAAATATCTTACCCCCAGTAAATTTTGAGACATCAGGACTGTAACACACAGCTTCTTCCATCTCTTTAACTTTGCGCATTTCTTCCATAAAGGGAAATAAGTTGCCCTGGGCATAACCCTGCCGCAAAAGGCCAATGTGAATTGCAATCTGTTGAGGAACATGAATTATGTACATCTTACTATACAAGCTTTTTTAAATGGGTAGAAGTAAAAGTAGCTGCAATAATAATAAGCCTAACCATAATCATAACAAAGTAATGTCTCCAGCTACTCTTCAGAAGTAAGGGAACTAGATACATAAATCAGATCCAGCAGAAAGGGTAGGGTTCTAGTCCCCGTGAAAGCCAATGGAAACTCATTTTACTAATTTGTCTTGTTAGGTAATCATCAGCATAATTTGAACCCACTGTAATCAGATCCTTGAACTGCAATTCAATAAGATGCATTTTTTAGAAAATGAAAGGAATGAATGGTTGAAATGTTTGTCTAACCAAATATAAAGGGTTAAGATAAGGATGAAGGAGAATTTTGATTCTTAATATGTAACAGCATATTGTATGCAATTCCTGTTCATTAAAGTTGGGAGAAAGAAACAGATACAGAAACACTTGCTATGGAAGAATCTGTAAGAAATTGATCTCCAGTTTACTACACTTGAATATTAAATTAGTCTTTGCTTCTCTAATTTCAAATTAATGTAAGAAAGAAAAAAATCTGTAGAGCTGTTTTGGTACCTTAAGCAAAAGAAAAGAAAAAGGCCTTACCTCAGGTACATCTTTTTTTGGATATCCTGTTGCAGCATAAGCCTTGGCCACCTGCAGCCAGAGATCACTTGACTGGTAACTTAGAGTTTGGCTCACGTGACCTTCTAACACATGTGGATATACTTGGAGCAGAGTGCGGGATTCCTCTGAAGACCACAGCTGCTGACTGGCCTCTGAAATTTTACTTTAGATGAAAACTAAATACTGCCTAGAATTACAAAATAGTTGAATACCACTTATAACCAAAATTAATCAAGAATCACACATTCAAACAATTCATAGAGCAAGTATCCAAAAACATATTTCATCTTCATATCTAAAGACAGAGCAGTGGCTAGTTAAAGCACAATGATGAAAAACAGAAGAATATGCATAGTCTTTTAAATAGTCAATACATATGCAGTGGGAGACAGGAAGCAAAATACAGAGTTCAATATTAACCCAATGCTGATGGGCATGACGTGTATGTACATGCTATTCCCACTGTGAGTACCTGTTTGATTGTTTTTACACATAGATGGCTACACTTGTACTAAGTCACCAATGAGCCACTTACAAGTACTACCTGTCTCGCCTGCTTACCCTTTTCTTTGATTTACGAAAATATTTTACTTTATCTTATTTTGCTGTCACTAATGTTTATAAAAATAAAGTAATTATAAAGTTTTTAATAAAAATAACACCATCGATATTCATAGCACTAGTAGAAAATACATTTTTCCCATCAGTTCAAATCACGTAAGGTCACAAGGTCTACTAATTGACTCCTTTGTGGCTAAGCACTAGCAGAACCATCTGTGTGCAGAAACATTTTACAAAAAATATAGAAAATGAGCACAGCATTTCCCCTATCTTTAATACATTTTCCCCGGCAGAATTGGGTTAAACTGCAGTTTAGTTTCCTGTTGCTGAAAAACTAAATATAATTACTCTGTTGACAATGTCTTCTGCAATTCATATTTCAGAGGTCATTCAAGAGGAAGAACTAGAAAATATAGTTGAGCCTTTTGCCAAGTCAGGCACTATGTTTTCCAATATCAGGAAAAATCTACAACTACCCCCATGCAGAATAGGGATAGTCAAAGAGAAGGTGTAGTACAGACTTATGATGCATGGTTAATAACACAATACACACTAGAATGCAAGCCCTGTATGCATATGTGGGGTGTAAACAAAAATAACCAATGGGAAAACATATAATACAAACTACTGAAAATAAGACTAAAAGCATTATATAAAGATAAGCAGTAAACGGTCGCCCTTACGCAATCGCAATCTGAACTTCCTCAGATTTCTCATCTTCATTGTTCTTGATGTCTGAGTGTGAGGCCACCTGCCACAAACTCCAAAAATTTCAGCAAGTTGTCGGTAATAAGGGACATCTCTCCTTATGGCTCCAGGAAGGCTGTTGTGATACTGGCATTTTTCAAATCCCTTTATCATGCCATTGAGGATTTCCTTTGCTTTATATGCAGAAACATCCAGGCCCTCCTCTTTCAGTTTCTGTTACAAGAAAACTTATGCTTAGCATATTGCAATATTCTTTTATGTGAATCAAATATTTGCTTAAAAACATTGAGTTGCATGCCCATTAAACAGAGAAATATACAAACACATACACTGCCACACATTCCTTGAAGAAGGAATACCTATGATGACATGTGACATTTAAGCTTTAAGAACAAAAAATCTACTTCATAATTACAAATCCAAAATTTCACTTACATTCACTATACTATATAAATACATATAAAATGATAATAATAATACTAATGAACCTATGAATAATAATTACCTCAGTTATTTCATCCCAGAGAAGATTGTTGTCTACATTGGGATCCATGAACCTTTTCACAGACTCTTTGTATGCTTGCAGTAATATTCGCGATCCATTTGAGGGGAATCGTTCTGTGAACAAACAGTTCCTTTGCTTATATTGCTTGTCTCTTAACTAGTCTTACCTGACTCTGCAACATGGAATTACAGTGTACATTACCAGGCCTAGCTGCACTATCCTGGGAACTAGAGGAGACAGATCTATAGCTCATTCTACAAATGTTGTACTAATTTTGTTAGGGGCAGGGGAAACAAGAGTGAAGCTCCAAGAGCATGGATACTTCAGGACACTGATTATTAGAGGTAATTTGGCATTAATGTTTTTTTAGGAAAAAGAACAAGCTTGGAAATTTGTCTATGACTGATGTAAATTTTTGGTTCTAAAAATTCTAACTGCATCATCAGGACTGGGACATTTTTTATCAGAACTATGATCCCATGTGGCATGGTTTTACTGACCCATGTTAACATAGATAATCTTGGACTCTGATGGTTAAGATAATAATAGTAATGTAAGTGTGTGTGTGTGTCTCACCATCTCTGAGCCTAGTTAATTGGCATTACCAGGCTCACACACATAAATATATAATCTTTTCCTTACTTAGGCATACAATAAGCACACCATATATATTCAGATTCATCCTACTAATACATCTAGAGAAAAAGGCATAACACATACCAATCTTCACCGAGCGTCCTTTTACTTTCTCATAATTATGTCTACGTTTGGGAACATAATTCACAAGTTTTTCCAAATCCTCCTTGTATGCAATCGTGTAAGCCTCAACATTGGGCAGGGCATTGTGGTCAACCATGGTCTTGTACAGTGTTACCAGGTTGCGCCACCGAGCCTCAACCATGTCTACTGAGAATCTGAAATATGGCGAAGCTAAATTATTGTGTGCTGAAGGCCTTTTATATCTAGTATGATAATCTCAATTAATTAACGTTATAAAAAATCTTTTATCTCTCTAATCCATCAAATCTAACCCATAGATATGTTCATGAAATTACATATTATAACTAACTGAATTCACAAAAAAGATAAACTCAGGAACATAAACCCACCTATATCCATCACAATTGATATTCTCAGTGATCTTCTCCCATCCACTGAAACCAATTCGCATGATCTTCTTGTTAATGTTTTCTAGTTTAACTCGGTGCATCTGGTTTAGCAATGAATTGGTGGCATCACTATCCCACTCACCTGGACGAAACAAAACAGAGCTACATAAACAAACAAACATAAAAAAGCAACAGAAATAATATATCAATATCTATTCACACATTAGTATCTTGGGCTAATATGCCAAGTACCACATATAAAGAGGGAAAAAAGGCAGCTTGACATTAGGACTGCTATGTCAACAAATATGTAACTAGTAAACTATTCTTTCCCAGTTTACCGAGTATAGTATTTCTTATACTGACCAAAGAGATGGTTCATTTCATCAAAGTATTCACACCTCTTCTTGATTTCATGAGTGTCATTGTAATCAACTGTCCATCTGTACTTCTGTAAGACCTCTCTCCACCTCATACGAAGCTGTAGGAGATGTAATATACAGTCAAGCATTAATTTGTGACCTTTTCCTAAGTCGACCACAATTAAGATATCTAGTCATCTTCCTGGAGTACAATAAATAACAAAACAGATGCATATCTAGAAAACATTTTTTGAGTTCCTTACAGCAGAATGTGCAAGAATTATGCAAACACTGAATTTTGCAGTTATCCTAGACTACAACAAGTGTTCGTGTTGCTACTACTAGGTTAAAATATGGGAGTTAGTATGCATGATCAGGTTGCCATATAAGAATCTCAAACTAATTCCTGATTTTTCTCTATCCAAATCCATTAAAGTTGAAGAATGAGTAACAATCAGCATTTAAGTACATATACCCTTTAGCATATCTTCATTCTGACAAAATCCATTTCACATTACTTAGAACAAGTACAGAAATTACCAGTAGGTGATAATCGCTCACAAAATACATTACCTGGAGGATTGTGAAAGTGTAGCCAGCCATTTCCATTTCCTTGTGAGCAGCTTCCCAATGGACCATTCTCTTCTCCGTTTTGGAGGACAGAATGAAGTGACATTTAGGGTATTTCTGCATAAGCTGTATCAAGAACTGAGTGGCTCTTTCATCCCAGTCTCCTGTTGCAAAATACAATAAAAATAAAAGGATTAATACAAATATTAGTTACAAAGCTAGTATATGAAATATATATATAAAAGTGCATATAGGTAAATATAACTGTCAGTTCAAAGATCGACAGAAATGGTGAAAGTAACTGAAAGTAACTGTGCTTCAGAATACTGGAAAAATAACTTTTGTTTCTGCATACTTTTTTTTTTTGGACAGTTTGCTGCCATGTCAACATCTAAGGTCATTGGCAGTGTATACAATGTATAGAGATAGGGTGAAAGTATTTTGGTTCAGTAAGGTAATGTTTGTGGATCTCCAGAATGGTCAATAGTCAAAAACAAATGTACCAGACATCAAAGGTCACTCAGCATTATGGTAAAGTATTATAGTGAAAAGGGTAAATATGAGTTAACAATTTGGATAAGTGGACAGAAAAAGGGGATGAAGAAGAGAAGGAAAAGGAGAGGAGAAGAAAAGACCTTGCAGAATTTGTGTAGGTGAGTTCTGAGGTCCAAGGCAGGGGCGATCCCTACACTGGGCCTCAGTCTCTGCCTTCCATGGCAACAACAAGCAAGGGATTGGAGGTTTACATACTTACCAAGAGTATCCTTGAAACTGTAGAAATTACTCCTCTCCAGCTTGAAGTCCTTATCCCTCATGATACGATTCAAGCGATATTCATCTGCCATCGTGTGATATTTCTTCCTTCTCTTGATGGGTCTTGTACTTGGCCCAGGATCATTTGGAGGTTCTTCACCACCGCTGACTTCTGGTTGATCAAAGGGCAAGGCAGTTGGTGCCATGTGATCTGGCATCTTGACTCCGGTCCTTGGTGAACTCTCGTACTCAGATGGTGACACCGAAACAAATATCTTTCTTACATTACTACAATCCTCAGCCATTGCTGGTAAAGTGTGGCTTGCCAATATATCTTTTTTTCTTTCTCTTTATGACTTATAAACAGAGATATCTGTTGCAACTGAAAAGGGAATAAGAGACAAATCAATTATTGGAAAATATAAAAAATGTACAAGTTTTTGATAGTTGAATTCAGGCAATTTTTGCCAGGGGTGTAGATAGGAAAATTCATAGAGGGGGCGAGAAATGAAGATATCCTGACAAAAATTTGACACTAATTCTCATTTTTTATTATTTTGAACATAACATAAGGCCACTAGAACTAAACGAAACAGAAAACCATTGTTATTTTTCCGACAAGTGCAGAAATTTTCCGACAAAATGGCAGTTTAGCCTTATAGGTAGGTTCCCCCCCCCCGACCCCCTCTAACTACGCCACTGGTGGCATTCATCACAAATTTTCTGGCAAGTGAAATTTCTCTTCCTCTTTCACTTGGGCAGAAAATTTGCAGCCCTCCCTAAATTTTAAATGCCCCTACGCCGATGGGCTACATCCCCTGGACCACCTGGTAATATATGCGTCTAGAATTCACCTTGGCATTGTAATCAAGATGAGAGACTTAGCCAAAATTGGAGGTT